ACTTTGATTAAGGCAAGAAAGTGATGTCCTCAATTTTGATTATGTTCACAAATTAAACTTGCAACTCAGTTATTGCTCAATCACTTTTCTTGGATATCTAAATAAAAATCAAAATTAAGCCTAACAAAGATATCTAAACAAAAATCACAAATTGAACTTGCAACTCAATTATTGTTCAATCACACAGGTTATCTACTCAATGCTCTATCTAAGCATCCCTTCAAGAAGATAGCAAAGAACCATATTATGATTGTCTATTTGCTCTGGTTTCCACTGGCCTTCTAGCCAAAGCAAAGGAGAAGAATGGTGTTTTTTATCCAACAAACTTCCTTTGCCAACTAAGCAAACTCAAGTAATTTTATATAATGCTACAACTAATAGATTGTAGTTTAAATTCGAAAAGTTTTCTTTACTTCTTTTCACTATTCTATAAGTTCACCAACTAAGCAAACTCGAGAGTAATTTACATGGTGGGACATGATTTTAGGAGAGAAGAGGCAGGAAAAAAAAAAAAAAACTTGCAACAAATCTTATTACTAAGCAAAGAACTCGCGTTGTTAGACCCGGAGCACATCTTATTACAATTATTTGTAATTATTTATGAAACAAACAATAGAAACCAATACGGTGGATACAAACCAAACTGTTAAAAAAAAAATGTAGTGAATCAAACCAGAATATTCACATTAAAATGTATTAATAAAAAATTGTCCATGCCTACAATACTACTGATATTTCTAGTGAATTGTAGGCAAAATTAATTATCTCATGGTAGATACTAAAAATTTTAGGTGTATCATGTATAGACACTAAAAATTCTTGGTTCAAAAGATTGGTATTACTGAAATTGGTTTTCTTCTATAAATTAAAATTAAACAAAACTAAGATGAGCAATATAGAGTAGAGATGATGTTGCCAATTAAAATTTTATTCAAGTCTAACCATATGCCCCCCAAAAAAAAAACACAAAAACAAAGAAGGAATCTCAGTCAAGAGTTTAATTTTTTAATTTAGAAATTGTTGATCAGTCATGCACTCAGATACTTTGAATAATGCAAGAAAGTGATGTCCTCGGTTTTGATTATGTTCACAAATTAAACTTGCAACTCAGTTATTGTTCAATCACTCTTTTTGGACAATGATGGATAAACAAAAATAATGACAGGTTATCTAACAAAGATATACATAACAAAGAAAAACGCAAGAATGGTGATTACAAAGGTTATATACTCTATACACTCTAACTAATCATATCTTCATGAAGATGGCAAACAGCCATATTATGATTGCCTATTTGCTTTAGTTTCCATTGGCCTTCTAGCCAAAACAGAGGAGAACAAACCTACTTTGCCTTGTTCGCCAACTAATAGATTGTAGTTAAATCATGAAAAGAGACATGAAACCATATAAGTTCACCAACAGTTTTCTTTACTTCTTTTACACGGCGAGACATGATTTTTAGGGGAAAATAGACCCAAGAGAGAGAGAGAGAGAGAGAGAGAGAGAGAGATATGAGGTAATTGAAACCATGTAAAATGTCTTAACCATAAACAATAACAAATAATGCCAATTCCCAAAGATATCTTAATGGCATTTCCAAACACAATCAGACTCCAATCAAAATTGAGTGAATTCCTGTAACAAAGCTAATAATTTCAAGAACTTGACATATCTTAATCCAAGAAATTATTCATGAAACAAACACAAACACATCCCTTTATTGGCCAAGAAATTGAATGAAGTATCTTATTTCTATTTTTATTTTATTTTATTGTAATTATTCATGAAACAAATTTGTATAAGAAAAAATGTAGTGAAATCAAGCTACAACCAAACTGCAAAATCATTTCACCAAATCCAAACAAATCAAATAAAAAAAATTAAATACCAAATAATACACACCAGCTAGTGCTCTGCAATCTCAAAAAAATTAAAATTAAAATGCAGACCAGCTAGTGCTACTGCTGCCAATCAAATTATAACCACATAAGCAAAACAAACATTGTATTGCCATACACCTAAGTTGATAATATATGTATGTTTTTACAAAGAGTGGGTTAAAGTTTTACAAAAGATGTGTATGCTTCACAAAAAGTGGATTAAAGCTAAACAAAATATGTATGCTTTACAAAAGATGTGTCAATAACATGCCTCCAAACATGTGTTTGCTCAAACTTCCTCCTCATTACTTTCTAAAAAGTTTTTGTATCAACCTGTATATATCTCCAATGAGGAACATGCACAACAATTTGGTAATTTGTGGAAACAAAAAAATATATATTAGTACATTTGTTGAAAATATACATATCAAAATACTTTGAGATTGAAATTACTTTATTACCTTATCACCCATTATAATCATAGGTATTTTGATTTGATCATAGAAATATATAAACCCTTCAATGTAGAGGGAGAAATATGTAAAAAGAGAAAATATAAAGCCACCATATTTGTAACTCCAGAAAACTTATTTAGATGCCCCTAATTTCTTTGGTAGCCTAATATTTCCTTCAAAATAGCAAGTTTTGATGGTTAATCCACGACTCATAGTTTTGAAGTTTCCCAATTTGTATATTAATAGTACTAATTTTTTCTATTTAAAAATAGCAATAAATCATCACTGCCAATAATCTGGGTCAATCATTGTCAACAAAATTGACAGCCACCATTTATAGAAATAAGTTAAAAACAATTCAAGGGTAATGGAGTTCACCATTTAAAAAAGAAATTTATGCCAAAAAAAAATATATTCACCAGAAACGCACATACAAGTTGATACATGCAAACCATGTAAGCAAAGCATCATTGAGAGGCATAAATTTCACAAAAAATTGGGAAACATTAAAGAAAAAGAAAAGGATAACCCAATGTTTAAAATATTATTATTATTTATTTATTTATTTTTTGTATAAAACATGCATTAAGAATCTTAATCATTAATTTATTCAAGCTGGCAAGATGATAATTAATTATTAATCAAAGCTAATTAATTAAAAAAATAATCATGTTGGCATGCCATGGTTTGGGGCATGTGAAAAAACTCCGGCAACTTTTGCTGTTAGTGGCCTAATCAGCATGCCAATGAAATTCCTCTATTTTTTTATTCATTTTTAATTTTTTTTTCATCTGATTTATATCTAATCAATTAATTAATTAATTTCATGCATCCCCAACATTTAATTAATCATGGGAAACAGGAATATATTAGAAAAATTATATGCTACCAACACACATAAGCCAATCTTCTTTGAATAATTTTAGGTATCATTAAAATTTAGGAAAATTTACCCCCCCAAAAAAAAAACTTAGAATCTAATACTTGTAACAAAATAAACTGAGTTTTAATTTTATTAATTTAAATATTAAATTTCTGATTTTTTAATATCAGAAAAAAGCAGAAATTGGTTGACCAGAAATTGTTTCACCATAAATTATTTTCACCAAAAACATGATGCAAAATAAAATGGACTATTGATTATGGCTTTTTGATTTCTGTAAACAGTTCTTGCAAACGGTCACAATGCAATAAAATCAAACCAAAAATAGTATGCTAATGTTTCAATCCCAAAATAGAAACTCATTTCATCAGCAATCACCCATTTACTCATAGAAATCTTACTCAATAATTTTCTGAAATCCTCATAGGTTTAGTTGATGAAACCCACAAAATCGAAATATAACCCATTTCAAAATACAAAACCAAAATACAATTTTATAGAAATCAAAACCCATTATAATCATAGGTTAATTGATAAAACCCATCAATGAAACAGAAATATATAAACCCATCATATTTGCAACTCATTTCAAATTTATTTTATGAAATCCATCAAATTTTCAACCCATCACATTTATTGAAATACATACAGAAATAGAAACCCATTTCAATGAAATCAAAACCCATCATATTTGCAATCCATTTCAATATTTACAGAAATAGAAACCCATTTCATAGGTTAGAAGAGTGAAAGGGCAAAGGAGAATAGAAATGTCACCTGTGAAGAGTTGTTGGAGATTGCAAAACCGAAATCGAGAGAAAAATTTAAGCTAAAACCAGTGAGGAAAATGGATAATTGCTAGAGAATATAAGAAGAGAGAGATATGAATCTGTCTCTTAACATGGGGAAGAGAGACTGAGTAAGTGAAAAGACACATTTTGGGGGGAAAAGCAAAAACAAAAAAATTATCTTGACCCTTAGATACTTGCTAAGTATAATCTTAACCCTTGATTCAAAATGTATCTCTGATACATTTTAAGACATTTTCAAAAAGCCTATTGTCTTATTATATAGATATATATATTCACCATTTTAATTATAAACTCATACAAACAATATTATATTTGAAAATATTATACAAATTCATAAATGAGAGAGCAAAGTGATATTCATTAATAATTAAAAAAAAAATCATGTAAGTATCCCTTATTAAATCACACTTACATACCCTTTTATTTTTTTCTTTTTTCTTTTTAAATAAGAAAAAGTATTAATAATTAATAATAACAATAATGGGCTGCAGAGTCCAAAGAACAAAGTGGTGCCCCTGAGACATCAAGTCACGATATACTTCGCCAATCATATATTACTCGTTTGGGAAGTGGTTATTTTAATTTTTGGCTATTTTAAGTAGACTAAAATTTTTGTGTTTGGGAAGATGATTGGATTTTTTTGTGGTTGTATGTGATGTTTGTGAGAGAAAAAGTGAAATGATTATGGGTTTGATGTGATATTTTGTCTTATTAGCTATTTTAGCCTATTTTATCTTTTTGTAATTTTTAACCTAAATTTAACTATTTTTTTTCTTCCCAAACACTTTATTTTTTACTCATTCAACACAAATGCACGAGGTGCACCTTTCTCACCCATCATAACACCCGCGGTGGCTAACCACTAACTTGTCAGATTTGGGTCTGCTTTAGCCCAAAATTGTATTCGAGGCTAACCCAGCCCGATGAGGCCCAATAAGGAAGGCTCGGAGCGTGTTAGAAATTCAAAGAGTAGGCTTGGGATTTGCTGCGGAAGGCCGTGCGGTTCCCGAACCTCCCAACTCTTTTCAATTATATCCTCCTCTGTTTTCAATTCATCCCGTAGTAGCTTCAGAGAGAGAAATGAAATCGAGAATTCTAGAGAGAGATAGAGAGAAGTAGATTTAAGGGTTTGTCTCGATGTCGGTCACCGAAGGGTTCTTCGTTCTTGGTTCAGAGAACAGCCTCGTTGGAGGTAACTACGACTCTTGTTTGTTTGATCCATGTTCATCTTACTGTTCTCAAACTGGTCAATTAGGCTCTAAAACAATGCCAAATCTAGATTTTTTTTTTAAGGTTAGTTGATACATTCCCATAAATCGGGACGTATTTCATTTTAGGGTTTTTTCTGGATTTTTTTTTTTTTTTTTTTTTTGGGGGGGGGGGGGGGGGGTTGTGGTTGTAATTTTGATTTCTTTTGGGGTAATTTGAGAATTGGCTATGCCATCAAATTTGTGAAGTTTCATGTTTTTATATATTCTTATAATCTGAATCAGTTAGGTTAGTTGAGAGAGACTTGCTCAAGTTGTCATTTTTGTACATTGACATGATTAAATCTCTAATTTTGTATTTGAACTTCATTCGGCTGTCCCCTAATTTTTAGTTGCCTAAAAACCCCAATGTGTTGAATTATGTGACTATTTGCATAATTACCCTAATAGTTCTTCACTCTTTCTGTAATTCTGATATTTGAGGGTTTCCCCCAAGTACTCATTTTTGTGTCGTTTGATTCAATCTAAAATTTTGTTCTTTAAGTTCGTATGGACGCATCTTTGTTACCCACGACGGTGTTTTAAGGTTGGGATTTGTTCAGTAACTGTGAAATTGGGTATTGATATCAGATAAGCCTAAAGTAGAGAAAACAGCTAAGGGCTCTTTTGGAAGTGTGGCAAGGAAGAGACTTGGCGACATAAGCAACTTGCCACAGCAAACTAAGCCATTGTCTCAAGTTGACAAGGAACTATTAGTTTCAAATACTACAAAAGAGTACATTGAACAGCTTCAAAAGGTATAGTTCTTGTGGGTTTGATAATAATGTTTTTGGAGTTTTTGTGGTGTTCACCTTTTGGCTTAGTGGTATTTTTTGAAACTTTTGTTCAGGAAAATGTGGCATTGATGAAGCTTTTAGTGGATAGAAAGTATCCTTTTTTGATCAATTTGGTTCATTTTTGAGGCATCCTTATTGGACATACATTAATATGCTTTATTCCTGAATTGGTAGTTCTGTTGGGGCCTGTCAGAATTTTCTTGTTTGAAGTTTTCCTTGATTTGTGTTGATAGTAAAATCCTTGAATTGAGTGGAATTGAGTTACAGAAACTTAGAGTCAATTTGCAGAAACTGCAGCAACAGAATTCACAACTCGCTCAAGCAAATAGCCAGATGCTAGTGGTCTGTTTTCCTCCCGCATACTTGATAAACCATGGATCTGAATTCTTCAATTTTTTATCAACTTTCTTTTAACAAATTTGAATTCTTGGTGACGTAGATTATATTGTTCCTTTAACTTTGCAGGAACTTAATTCAGGAAAAGATAGGGTAAGCTTTTTTTTTATAGACATCCAAGTTGGTGGATAATGTGTACATGAAGTTAAACTTCTGCTTCCACTATGTTGGATATCTTCTGCTAACTTACAATAGACCTCTAATTCATTTCAGCTCAAAGTACTACATCATGAGCTTGGATGCAAAAACGGTTTGCTCAAAGCAAGAGGACTTGAACTGGAGGTCAGTCTATCTAGGTTGTATCATCTCTACCATTGTCAGAGTTTATCCAAATTTATGCTAGTCATTAATTCATGTTTTTGCTTTCTCAGGAGAAAGCAAAAATAAGAACAAGTAAAAAATTGGACAATCAGGTAATTGAGAAAATCGTTTTGGTAATTTCTCATTTACAATTTTCTAGAAGAGTTATAGCTTTCATGTTTATTTTCTCATTGCTCTCATTATCAAAAGGTGCGAACTTGCAAGTCTGAGGAGGCCAGGGAGTCCTTTGAAGCAGATAGAGCTGAAAATAAACCTCGTAATACCAACAAGATTGGGAAGCAGCAATCAAAAAGTCAGTGTAACTGCTGGAACCTGATTATCCATTTGAGATTTGAGTAACTTTTTTTCTTTTGTGACCTTCTGGTCTCTCATGTGTCACTTGCAGGTTTGGGCCCCCCTTCTGTGAAACAAGTTCTATTGAGGGACAAAACTGAGAGTAATAGGTTTGTCCAGGATGTTACATTGCATATTGCACGTTAATATTTTGTTGGAATCTCTTTTGCCACTATTAATCCAGAAGACTAGAAGAAAATTATCTTTGTTTTTCTGGTTTTAGCAGCGTGGGTTTGAGAAGGAAATCTGCTAGATTTAAATCTGAAGAACCAGAGCCTACTGGAGACGTGTCTGAGATAGACGATGCAAAAACTGAGAACAAAAGGTTTATCTGGGGGTGTTACGTCGCATATTGCATGTTAATATTTTGTTGGAATCTATTTTCAACTATTAACTAGATCATCAGAATAAAATTATCCTTGTTTTTCTCTTTTTAGCAGGGTTTGTTTGAGAAGGCAATCTGCTAGATTTAAATCTGAAGAACCAGAGTCTACTGAAGATGTGTTTGAGATAGATGATGCAAAATTTCCTGCATGTTCTCTGCACGATGATCAAATGCAGGAAGATGGTTCACCTTCCATGTGTTTGTTGGTCAAAAAAATTGATAAAGAAGTCAATAGTGACTCAAGTGATGAAACTCTTGTACTTCAAAGGTCATCTATTGGAAGGCCTTTGCGTCTAGCAGCCAAAAAGGTTCAGTCCTACAAGGAAACTCCACTTAACATGAAAATGCGGAGACTCGAGTGAGTCAGTTTTTTTTCTTTTCTAGGCCAACCCTGCCCTTCGGGGGCAATTAAGTAGCAGAAAGGCGTAAGACTCTTCACCTTTGACTGTTTTCATTTCTCTTTCAAAGTTGTTTCTTGCTCACTCTTATGTAGATTTCTTTTGGCTGTTGACCCAATGTATGTTTGAAACTAGAGTGTATCTTACTCAGTCATCTGCGGATGATAACTAGAAATACTGAAGTGGACAGGTTTATATGATTGTGTTGTAATTTGTTGGACTGCGGTTTTCGTAGCTAAATACTGAGTTAAGTGATGAATGAAATGCTGAATTGATTTTGCAATTTCTTGTGCTTGCATATAACAATGTGTGTATATATATAGATGCGTGCATATATAAATACTAGTGGTGATGCATTTGCAATTTTTATGTTTAAACCTTTGAATGGTTTTTAACAGTTTTAGGCAGTTTGGTGAAGCAATTATTGGATGATATAGTTATTAGATATGAAGGGCATTATTGAAAAATCAAGAAAGCAGGACATTCCACACCAAAAGTCATGTAGATTTTATATAATAGAATAGATGTTTTATATCTCATTGTCTCATAATAGAATAGATGTTTAGACGGACTGGATAAGGAGAGATTGCAATCTATCGGACTATTAGTCCTGAGATAGATTGTCCCCGGATTATTTGGTTGAACTGGATTTATATCTTATGTTTGTTTAGTTATAGTGTTACATGTTTGGATTGGACTATTTTTAGTGAATCTAATATTTAATTAGACAGACTGGATAAGGATAAATGTTCAAAAGACTATTTTACTCTTGTAATTTATAATTTTTATTTAATATATAATTTTAAATTTATAATCTATAATTTATAATTTAACAACACTAAAAAAATTTAATTTATGAGGCCATAATTTTTAATTTATTATTTTTAATTAAATTAAATTTGTTGAATTTGTAATTATAATTTATATTTTTTATTTAATATATAATTTTAAAATTAACGACAAATAAAACATAATTTTATTTAATATATAAATTAATTTTCAACAACACTAAAGAATTTAATTATATTAAGGCCATAATTTAATTTATTAGTTTAAATAAATTTAATTTATAATTTATATTTTTTTGTTTAATATATAATTTTAAATTAACAACACTAAAAATGTTTATTTAATATGTAAATCTTTAAATTTTTTTTTCAACCCCCAACCCCCAAAACCTTAAAAAAAATTTAATTTATAAGGTCATAATTTTTAATTTATTATTTTTAATTAAATTTAATTTATAATTTAAATTTTTTATTTAATATATAATTTTATATTAACAACACTAAAAGAATAATTTATAAATGTTCAAAAGACTATTTTATCATTTTCTAATTTATAATTTATAAATGTTTAAAAGTAATAGCATGAGAGTAAAATGAACATTTCACAAATTAATCCCATGGGATACCAATTCCATGGTTTCTATCCTACCTCTCCCATGGGATATGATAGTCCCATATTTGTGGGACTTATAGTTCGGAACAAAATTTTTCAAACAAGCAATGGACTATTAATCCAGTGGGACTAATAGTTCAATCTCACACCCTAATCCTTCAAAACGAACACACCCTTAGGCCATGTTTGTTTGGCGGACCAGGTTGGATGAGATTGTTAGTGAATAGATTGTTAATGTGAGAATTGTTAGTGAGGAGATTAAGTAAAAGTGTGTTTGTTTTGATGATTGTGTGGGAGATAATTTGCGATGGGATTGTTAAATTATTTTTATATAAAATAAATAAATAAATTATTTCTATATTAAGTAAAATTAAAACAAATATTAAAGTAAACAAGTGCACTTGGTAAAAAAAAAAAATGAAATTAAAAAAATAAATTTTTTATATAAAATAAACTCAATCCCTTCACTATTTTCCTAATCCCACTCAAAATCTAGCCAAGCTAATCTCCTTATGTGAGGGTATTTATAGTCCCAGGGACTACTAGTCCTTTCCTATTTTTGTCAACCAAACATGAATTATGTAGGGTCCACGGAATTGGTAGTCCAATCCCCCCAACTATGGAGCCAAACAAACATGGCCTTACTGATTTGGGTATGAAGTGTGAAATGGGGTCTGGTTAACTCCATCTGTGGATGGAGTATTAGGACATTCCACACCAAAAGTTGTGTAGATTTTATATAATAGAGTAGATGTTTTATATATCATTATTTCATATTACAGAATGAAGTTTACTGATTTGGGTATGAAGTGCGAAATGGTGTCTGGTTAACTCCATCTGTGGATGGAGTATTAGCTTAGCAGCCATGTGGTGTTTCTAAACTTCTTTCTTGTTTTATTTCAGAAAACACAAAACAACGCCAAACAGGGTTGTTAACCTTTTTCTCAGTATAGAAGTGAGAAAAACAGCTTCCCATTTTCCCACCGAAGTCCGATTTTCTGACCTCGACGGAGTTCTCTATCCTTAAAAAGCTGTATGGCCTCTCTAAGATAGTAGACCTGTCCACCCAGTTTTAAACTCATCAGGTAGCATCTGTTGTGACCATCTTGCACCCAAATTAGAACTGACTTTGTCGATTTAGTCAATATGTTATGCTCTTCTATCTCAAGGTTTGGGAGGTTATGATTTTCAAACATTTTCGTCAGCAAGTGAATTCAATTTTTTCTCACATCACCTTTAGTCAGTGATTTAGTGACGGGCTATTTTGGAGTAGTAGATGATGACCCAACTCTCTCATCTTCCATTGCACAATATAGTGTGTGTCTAGGGAAACCAGAATATAACACAAAAATGTTGTAACATAGATTGCTTATATATATATGGAAAAGAAAATTATGACAATAAATAAAAAACACTCCTCATTTATGCAATTGTGTATATATGAGAAATTAATATTGGGATTTGCACAATCTTTTCTAGCATGCATGTTTTGATTTTTGTATTGTTATTTAGAGATATATAATTGGCAGAGTTTTTTTTTTTGTTGTAGTCGTCAGCATTTTAATTTTTCGTTTTAATGTAAGAGTGAACAAAATGAAAAATAGAAAAACAGGTGAAAAAAAAAGAGCTTGAAAACAATTTATTTAAAAAGTGACATAAAATGGTGTACATCTTATGTTTTCCAAATTCCATTTTAACAAGAGATTCGTGCACTAAATTATCCATTTTAGTTCAAAAAAATAAAATAAAATAATTGTTAGTTATTGGCCAAAAAATTCATAGAAATCCAAACAAAATATTAATTATAGTTGAGTCCAATTTTAAAACTATAATATTACAATACTCCTATATTATATTTATAGTATTTATTATAATTTTATTGGTTAGATAGATTCCACCGTTTATATTCTTTATTAATATAAAGATCTTGTTAATAACTATTATCAATAACCATCACATAATGTTATAATATTTATAATTTCAATATATAAGTTACATATTTCAAAATATTTTTATGCGTTTTTTTACACATTTTTAAATATTAACAACAACTATGAAGACTATTTTTCATATAATAATTACAAGTCACATAAATACAAAAATGATTATTCTAGAATTATTGATTTGAAATTAGATTCAACGGTAGAATAAAGAAAGAGAGTGGGAGTTAAGGTTAAAGGTATGATTAGAATTTTAGTTTGGATTTGTATAAGAATATATTTTCAATGGCACGTGACATTTTTTTTGGGTTCAAATTTGGATAGAAGGTAGGGAATGGAGTAAAGCCTTGTTTGTCATCTTCTAAAAAAATTAAAAAGTTATTATCTTATTTAAGTCATATCATCTTATTTAAATTATATCACCTCTCTACCATATCACTTCAAACCTAATCCATATCCAATTCATATTTCATAAAAAGTCAAAAAGTACACTTATTTAGAATATCCCAAACAACCCGTAAATTAAGAAAATTTTAAAAATGTTAAGGGTTAAAAAGAGGGAAAATGACCAATTTAAAAGGAGCAAAGGGTAAATTTACCGATTTTAGAAACAATTGTTATGTATGGCCGGTCCGAAGCGGTTAATCATATCATCGAATTAGGTTCTCTCACGATCCACAAGTTCGTTACACACACACACACACACACACACATATATATATATATATATATATAACACTAGCACTAGTATATATCTATTCTATTATTAAAAGCCAACACCAATTTTAGTGTCATGAAGCCTCAACCATGTCCACGTGTAAATTAGATGATTTGACCAAAAAAAAAAACAACATCCCACGTTTACCACTTTCTCTCTCAATCAACTACCCAATACTTGGTTGTTCAAAAAAAACTACCCAATACTCAATTTCCTATCTCTCTCTCTCCCCTTCGTTCACACATTATAGCAATTGGTGCTTTTATTGATATGTGCATAGAACTTTTGAATTCTACGCACCTCAAGTTCTTTGTCAACGGTGTCTTCAACCCATCTCACATAAATGATTTTGAGCACTCTGGAATGCTTCTCATGTTCTTCATCTTTGGTGCTCAGAAAAAAATGGGCCAGTCTTTCTCTTCCTGAACATTCTTAATGTTTCTCTCTCTCAGAAAAAAATGGGTCAGTCTTTCTCTTCCGAACATTCTTAATGTTTCTCTATTTTGTTTTACAAACAAGTCACATAAATACAAAAATGATTATTCTAGAATTATTGATTTGAAATTAGATTCAACGGTAGAATAAAGAAAGAGAGTGGGAGTTAAGGTTAAAGGTATGATTAGAATTTTAGTTTGGATTTGTATAAGAATATATTTTCAATGGCACGTGACATTTTTTTTGGGTTCAAATTTGGACAGAAGGTAGGGAATGGAGTAAAACCTTGTTTGTCATCCTCTAAAAAAATTAAAAAGTCATTATCTTATTTAAATTATATCATTTTATTTAAATCATATCATCTCTCTACCACATTACTTCAAACTCAACCCATACCCAATTCATATTTCATAAAAAGTCAAAAAATACACTTATTTAAAATATCCCAAACAACCCGTAAATTAAGAAAATTTAAAAAATGTTAAGGGTTAAAAAGAGGGAAAATGACCAATTTAAAAGGGGCAAAGGGTAAATTTACCCATTTTAGAAACAATTGTTATGCAAGGTCGGTAAATTTAATCATATCATCGAATTAGGTTCTCTCACGATCCACAAGTTCGTTACATACACACACACAAACATGTATATATATAACACTAGTACTGGTATATATATATATCGTAATCTTTATAACTAGCGATTTGGGAATTGAGATCTGTGTTTCTCTCTCAAATCGTCTTTGACAAAGATGTATGGATTCGAAGCAATGACATTCAACATCCATGGCGGTTACCTGGAAGCGATCGTCAGGGGATACAGATCTGGTTTGCTCACCGCCGCCGATTACAACAATCTCTGCCAGTGCGAAACCCTAGACGACATCAAGATGCACCTCTCCGCTACCGAATACGGACCCTACCTCCAAAACGGTAACCCCACAATTTCAGATCGATCTCATTGTTGTTCTCAATTCAATTGCTTTTGAAATTCCATGTTTCACTGTGTTAATTGAAGCCCTAGAACTTAATTTAGAATTTGGGTTATGATCTCGTTCATGTATGAACTTGTAATTCTCGTTTAGATCAGGGTCTCTGTGTTTCTCAATTGAACTGGGTTCTTCTAGCTGAAATTATACGTTTCACGATGTTAAATTGAAGTTCTAGAATGTAATCAAGGTGTTTAATTTTGAAACCTATGTTGAAACTTTTATGGAAAGTTTTCAACTAATGTATTGTTTAAACTAGAAATATACTTGAATCACACTTCAAAATCTAGCTAATCGCGTGTTCTATGCTTCTATTAGCATGAACCAAATCCTAGCCCTAGGTTTACTAATAGACTATCTCGATCATGGTTATCATGTTACTAATGTTGAGAATTGAATCACACTGACACTCTAGATAGGAGCCATGTCAAAGCATATTGGATGCACCATAATTTTAAAATAAATTGCATATGCTAAGATGCAGTCAACACTTCTCAGACTCTCAGTTAGCATTTGAAGAGCATTGCCCGAGTCCTTGAAACTATTGAAAGTAGGATACACACATTCCTAAGTCTTCCAACATTTTCTTATCTTAAAAACATAAATAAATGAAAAGAATGGTTGATATCACACATTCACGACTAGAATTTGAGCATCCTATGGATTCTTTTGAATATATGAAAAATAAAATACACTAATGTATAGCAAAAATTACAGAAAGATAATAGCAGTTGGAATTTCATATGTTTATTATGTTCGTAGTGGAATTTCATAGTTCTAGCTTATGAACTAATAATGGTTATCGTAATTTTCCTGCAGAACCTTCCCCGTTGCATACAACTACAATTGTGGAGAAATGCACTCTTAAACTGGTTGACGAGTACAAGCACATGCTATGCCAAGCCACAGAGCCATTGTCAACCTTTCTTGAGTATATCACGTATGGAGATTTAAGTCTTTTCCAAGCGTGACTAAGTTTTTATGTGAAGTATTGAGACAATTTAGCTACTCTTAAGATCCAACTGTGTACTTGGTTGTTTATGTTCATGCAGAATTTGCCAAAATATTTATTCTAGGGGTAATTCTCTAGGGTTATGTATTCCCTAATGTGAATGTGTGGGTTCTCTGCCCAAGATTGATGCTTTTGGTAAAGTTTGAGAAGTTTCCATGCATTTGGAATCATTCTGTCCCCAAGTTACAAGGTTTTTGTAGTTGTAGTATGTGATTTGTTACATTCCTACTTATATTGGCAGGATAATTGTTATGTGAAGCTCAGTAAGCATGTGTCTGTTTGTGCTATTTTGAGTTACATGGTGTATTTAGCGTGTCAAACAGTTAAGCTTTAGCTGGTCTGACATACCTTTAAATTCAGCCCAAACTGTGCATTGGCTACAAGTCTTGCTTGAAGTCCAACCTTATGTTTGGTTGGCATACAGGCATGCAGTTTTATCTTCTTTAATGTGCATTTCACTGGCTTCTAAACAGGATGAGCGTGAACGTTTACTTTATTGCTTTTTTAATTTAATGCCTGGCTGGTAAAATAGATTGTCTTAAAATTTTTCTGGAAACCTAAATACCTAATATTTTTTCATATTGTACAGATATGGTCACATGATTGACAACGTTGTCCTGATCGTTACTGGAACCTTGCATGAAAGAGATGTTCAGGAATTGTTAGAGAAATGCCACCCTTTGGGCATGTTTGACAGGTAATGTTTACTTGATCCAGGTTTGTTGTTTTGTTTTGACAACTAATAACATGGCAATGTTTTTCTTAATTTGTTTCCTCAGTATTGCTACCCTGGCAGTTGCTCAGAATATGCGGGAGCTATATAGACTGGTGCTTGTTGACACGCCTTTGGCTCCGTACTTCTCCAAGTGTATCACATCTGAGGTACTCACTAGTGACTGCTACTCATGTTTGTTTTCTTCTGAGTAAGATCCTCACATTTTGTATGAGATGTGTTTTTCTGACACCAGGAAAAACATACGTTTAATCTTGTGTTTTTTGGAGAGGAAATTTTCTGCAATCATGTATTTGTTGATGAATGATATAAAACTGTAAACGGACATATGGACACAATGACCCATACATGTAGATTTGCAGTTGATTTTTCTGTTGAACCGAGTTAAAAAAACGGAGGAAAAGAACATTTCCTCTTTCTATTTGGCTTTCTGTTAAAATTTTTATTTGTCATATTAGTGGTGCATATATGGGTCTTCATATATACTATGAATAATAGGAACAATGATGGTTGATATTTCTTTTCTGTATTCACTTTGTTAACATCTATGTAACTTATATTTTTATTTGACTACATTGTTGTAGATTTATTTTAGAGATCCACTGTTCAGCATCATGCTTTTTCTTCATTCTACTTAATTGTATCATCTGCAGGACTTGGATGACATGAACATTGAAATAATGAGGAATACTCTTTACAAGGCATATCTTGAGGATTTCTACAGGTTCTGTCAGGTTAGGGTTAACTGCCCATTGTGCAGATGTTTGTTTCATTCTTATATTATAAGCAGATTCTATTTCCTTTTTCTTTTACTAAAGTCTAATGCAAAATTTTCAAATAGAAACTTGGTGGAGCCACTGCAGAGATCATGTCTGACCTCCTTGCCTTTGAGGCTGACAGAAGAGCTGTTAATATTACCATAAACAGGTGGTGTCACCGTTTGAAATTTTGTGCCCTTTGATTTCTGTTATTTTAATGATGGTGGTCTTTTAGTTCATTTTAGAACCATATTCTCTGTGTCATTTTTGTGTTACAGCATTGGCACCGAACTTACTCGAGATGATCGTAAGAAGTTGTACTCTAGTTTTGGCTTGCTGTAAGCTTCTGCTCAACCTTATTTCTTTTCCAACTTTTGATGTTATAGACATTTTTCAGTTTTGTTTTGATAATGATTTAATTGTGTGAACAGTTACCCATATGGTCGTGAAGAGCTTGCTGTCTGCGAGGATATAGATCAGGTTCCTTTCTTCTCCTAGTAAGAGTTCAATTACATATATGATGGTTTTGCTTTTTGATTTTGGTTTATGCCGTATAGGGTTGAGCCTTTTTTGAGGTTTGAGTTAAATGCTTTTTCATGTATTTTTCTTGTTGTCAAGGCAGTTGATTAATTGTGCCAAGAAGTAAAAATTCTACGGGCTTGTAAAGACCTCCTCTCCCTTTAACAAAATAAACTGAAATTATCGCTCTGAAATTAAGTGAACTCAACACAGAAATGATATTGCTCTGCAATGGCATCTTTGGATGTGATACCTTGATGATCTCTGGTGACTGACGGTGTAAATATTAGTGTTTTTTCTATAGATGTTGCAATTTGTAAATGAGGTTGCTGTATCAAAAGCCTTCTTTGATGGCATCTTCTTTGGGTTATGCAACATAGGGTTGGACCATTTTTTAAGTTCAAGTTAAATGCTTTTCAGTGTTTCTCTTGCCTTCCAGGCAGTTGATTTATTGTAATTTGTACCAAGAAGTAACAATAGAAAGAGTTTGTAAGGAACCCACTTTCCCTCTAAGAAGGAAAAGAGAAGAAAAGAAAAGAACTGAAGTGATGTGAACTTCAATTCAACATAGAAATGCTGTAGCTCTGCCATGGCATCTTCTGCTGGTGATATCGTGACAATCCTTTAAGACTGACGTAGTAAATCTTGGTCTTTTTTACGGCATAATTTTTTTTTCTTGATTGGGGATGTGGCCCATTTCTACTGGTTTATGTTACCTTGATATTTTGCAGTATGGTTCGTTTGTAGCTCTTAATTCTTTCTTCAATTGTGCTGTTATAGGTTCGTGCTGTTATGGAAAAATACCCCCCTTATCAGTCCATATTTGCCAAATTATCCTATGGAGAGAGCCAGATGCTCGACAAGGCATTCTATGAAGAGGAGGTGAAGAGGCTCTGCTTAGCTTTCGAGCAACAGGTTTGTATTTCAGAGAGAGAGCTATTATTGAGTTCAGACATTTGTTTCGGTGATAGTTACTTATTTCGGAAGTTTGAAAAAAAATGTTGATTCACATTCTAGTTACTTCTGATTCACAGTTTCGTCAATTCATTGTCAGCAATTTCACTTCCTTTCTGAACTGCAGTTTCACTATGCCGTGTTCTTGGCATACATGAGGTTGAAGGAGCAGGAGATCAGGAACCTGATGTGGATATCCGAGTGTGTGGCTCAGAACCAGAAGTCTAGAGTCCACGACAGTGTTGTTTTCATATTTTAGTTCATTTACAGCTAGTTTGCAATGAGCTTGTGTTCATTTTTTTACACACTCTGTAAATCTCCCCCTGACGTGTCTTTTGATTATTATGAGGTGCAGTGACAGTCCTTGCACTATGTGCAGGTTTCTCATAATAAGCATTTACCCATATGTTTAATTCGTCAACATGAAGAGAGAAATCTTGTACGCAGATTCATCAGTATATCTAGAATGCTAGTTTCGCACAAGTCTGTTGATTGTAATTGGGAGAAGGATGATGTTGTGATGCCTCAATTTGAAAATTTTTGCTGAATAATAAAAATACTGGCAGTGTTGTCCGACTGTTGCTGTCAAATGAAACTATATAAGACGACTCCAAAGCATGATCACATTCTTGCTTCAGAAGAAACTGTTATCGGCATTTAGTCTGGCACAGCTTACCCAGGTAACCAAGTTCTTCTCTCTGCAAATTCTGTTTATGCTAGAGGGTGTTTTTAAATGGATTTTTCTTGTGGGGTCTGATTCTTGTTTTTTAATTTCATGAGAAATACTGCTATAGTAAATTCCTTGCTTTGCCAATATTTTGTATGAATCTAAATCCAGGGGGCGGGTATCCCTTTTCTTTTTGATGCTCCTTCCTTCTTGACAGAGGATCCCATCTCCCTTTCATGATGTATGAAAAATGTAGGACTGATGCAGAACGCGTTTTGGGCAATTACAGTAAATTCCAAATTTTGTCAAGATGAAAAATCCTGGATTCCGCTCAAGGAGCACTTTGTTGTCCAGAAGGGGCTCCATGAGGACCCTACCATTGTATAGAGAGAGAGAGAGAGAGAGAGAGAGAGAGAGAGAGAGATGGACATGACATTGATCATGTAAGAATAGAAGACCTTAAGCAAGAAATTGGCTGACAGAGAAGAAATTTAAGACTTAATGCATTTATTGGAAGTGACACGCGGTTTGCCTTCTGTCAAAAAATTCCATAATTTTGGCTTTTGAATTTATATTTTTGCTGTTTATAGAATTTTTTTGTCCATGTCAAAAAGGTCCATCATTTTAGGCTTTTGAATTTATATTTTTGCTGTTTATAGAATCTTTTGTTTTAGTAATAACCTTAATTGGGGATATATGTTTCCAGTGCAACTTATTGTGCCACATTTGTTCAAATTGTTTTTTCTATTCAAATTACAACTTGTCTTGCTATAAATTAAGCTGTAAGTCTTGCTACAAGACATTATCAATAATATTTTCATAGTACTTGACTATATTCTGATATTGCTGTTGGTTGTGTACAACCATTGTGTTTCACCGCGTCACACCATCGATACAATAAACATGGATTTGAATTCAATCAAACACATAAAAAAATTCTACATTTGCAAAAAACCTCTTATGATTTGGTCATTGCTCATTACAGTGTTTTCAACTTTACATCACCAATTAATGCCTGATCGCTGATACATGGTTTCATAATAATTCTGGTAAAACAAATATATCCAAGAACCAAAATAATACAATTTAAGAATGTGGCAGTGAAAATATTATGAAAAATTCAATAATATATAAACAAATGGATACATGTTAGATGCATGGGAATTGTTGCATATTACTCCAAAAAGATTGTAGTACTTGGGAAAAAAAATAGGAAAATGAAAATTTTTTGGGTTACACAAAATGATCAATTTGGTTTTGGTTCATCCAAAAAAAGGGGGTGAAAGAAAGATGGCAACATCCGCTTAAGCAGTGTGGCACTAGTTTGAATCACAATAATCAGTCTCTACACATAAAACAAATAAATCAAGTTGGGGATAAAGTTGCTTATTTGTTATCTGTCTCATGTCGTTGTGCGCCGGATACAACCAATTTTTTTTGGCACTTAATCTAATGTCTTTTGCACAATTCAAGAACAATTGCACACATTTCATATAGCTTGACTTTCCAAATTCAGCTCAACCAATGGGGCATTCTATGAAAGAAAATCTTTTGGCCTTTTGTGTTTTTGTCTTACCCTATGTCCCCTGAAAGAAAAGCTAGAGAGAGAGAGAGAGTACTTAAAATCCTATAACAAGTGTAGGAACCACATATATAGATCTCTATGTCTCTCTCACTCTGCCTTTAATTCATACCATAACAAGAAATGGAAGATCAATGTAATCCTCTGAGCTGGGCTTGCCACTACCAAGAAGAGGTAAAAATTTAGTACTAACTTTATTTTGTCTTTTATTCATTAGCACACTCTCCCACAACCACAATGTACATTATTTTATCATCAAACCTAGTTATCCAGAAAAAAGTGACAAGAATTTTGCCCGAATATTAATGTATGGTTGAGATTTTTATGGGTAAAATTCTGGGTATATAGTATTACAGTTCTTTTACGTACTTGGCAGGGAATTGAAGAGTTAAAGCATTGTCTATTGTACACAACTTTGGAGCTAGAGACAACAATCCTATCTACTCAACAAGAAATTGCAAGAAAAGAAGATGAACTAAACTACGTCAAAGAGCTGTTGACCAAAGCCATGAAAGAGAGAGATGAAGCTAAAGCAAAATACCAAAGTCTGAGGCTGCAACTTCAACAACAACTAGAGGCTGCTGCAAACCTATCTGGGACTACCCGCGATGCAGAAGATAAACTAAGAGGGGGTTCTGAGCCCAACAATGTTGGATCTTTGTCCTCAAACTTGAATCCACAACTACCCTTACCAATGCCACTAGCAGAATTGACAGAAAAATTGGCATCCAAAAAGCCAGTGCCAGAGAAAGGGAAGTTTTTGGAGGTGGTCATGGAAGCCGGGCCACTACTTCAAACACTCCTGCTGGCTGGACCGCTGCCACGGTGGCAGCATCCACCTCCACCACTTAACTCCATTGAGATTCCACCAGTGACTGCCCCTTTGCCAACGCCAAGGCTTCTGCACCACCAGGACTCCACCATCAGTACTACTAATAGTTGTTTCAGTAAGGAGAAGGGTCTGGTGCACCATGAATGAAAATTGTCTTGTGACCTAAAAAAATCATGTAAGAGCAATCTCCAATTCTTCACCTTTTCTTTCATCAAATCTAAATTTGATGAAAAAGTGCTTAAAAATCATCTCCAATTTTAAAAGATGAAACTTTGGAGATGATATTTTTTTTCATCAAATCTGATGAAAAGGAAAATTCGGGATAAGAGGAGAATTTTTAAAAATATTTTGATGAAAATTTGAGGAAAGGATTTGAATAGTTCATATCAAACCAATCTTTTTACTCAAATTTGGCATCAAATTAGATGAAAAAATTGGTAAAGGGTTGGAGATGCTCTAAGAAATCTATTTGTGTAATATTTTCCTTTCTTTTTTATAATGGGTGTCTGAAACTTTGCCTAATATGTGAAGCTAGCAGACGGTTATGTGTATTCTGAGTTTGCACTCTTGCTTAAATATGTTTTCAGCTTAAAAAATAAATAAATAAAGAAAAAAGAAAAGAAAAGGCTCAAATCAAAGTCTATATGAGCATGGGGATCAAGGAGAGTTAGTTGAACATTGTTTGAAAATCTGCAACCAAAGCCTTGGAATTCTGGTTTGATGGAAACAGAGAGGTCCTACCTAGTCATTGTTTTATCTAAAACCGTCCAAGTAATAATAAGTCACATGGAAATTATGAAATCAAAACAACTTTTAAGGATTTTGGTTTCGTTGAACAGTGCAGTCATTATCATTGGTCATTTCCTCTTTCAATCCTCTTTTTGAAATTTGATTACATAGAGAAGACAAAAAAAAGAAAAAAAAAAACTCACTAGCAAGTTCTCTTAGATCAAATTACCTCAAAATATCTTCCATGATTAGAATCGTGTCATGTGTATTGTATTTGGGGTATGAATTTTAAGTATTAAGATTGCAGACACTTATCTTAGCAGAAATAGAGGATCTAAGGTAAAACAAAGTACTTTCATAACAGAGTTTTCTTATCTTAATCGGATGGTTAAAACGCTACAAAATGCGGTCAAAGGGTCAGATTTCAAGACTGTCATTATGAAAGATGTAGAGTAACTATTTAGTGGCAGTTTATGACTGTTATTAACAGTTAATTTAATTCTAATTCAAATTTAAATGGAGAGACAGTCATGTTCCGATCTATATATAGATGATTAGGCATTTAAGAATGGGAGAAAATATTCAGGTTACTCTTCCTATTTTCACAAGGTTCTCAAAAGGCAATCTACTACTCTTTCTATTCTTCTTCTGGGTTCCGTTTTTTGCAGAAACAGAATTTCATAACCTGTTTTGTTTTGTGCATCACCAAAAATATTTTGGGTTAATTTTCACTTAAGTGCAAAGCACAGACTGATAATCAGTTTCGGCTGGATTTCATTGCATCCTAGGGAGGATTTGGCTGGATTTCGTTGTATCCTAGGGAGGATTTGCCATTACCCATTGCACTATTTGTAGGGGCAAATAATTGTACGTTTGTGTCGCGCCTTAAAGCGATAATTTCTATGGTTCCTAATATTATCACCATACTTGTTTATCTAACTAGTCCCATATACAATTACTATTTTGACTTTGGGTTAAATACATTTTTCACCTTATAAGCATATATATATATTGATAATTGGGTCGATTTCCGTGCTCCTCGACTTTGTAATGCGCTTTAAAGTGATATTTTCTATGGCTCCTAATATTATCACCATACTTATTTATTTAACTAGTCCCGTATACAATCACTATTTTGACTTTGGGTTAAGTACATTTTTCACCTTATAAGCATATATATATGTTGATAATTGGGTCAATTTCTGTGACCCTCGGCTTTGTGACGTGCCGTGAAACAATATTTTTTATGATCCTAATATAATCATCTATGAAGTATGGACACTCCAAAATCAGTGCCGTGACGGTGTCCGACACGGGGACACGCCGAGGACACGTACGGGGCGTGTCCCTTTAATTTAATGATTTTTTTGTAGGGGACACGACAGGGACATGGCATGGGACACGGCGGGGCTTTTTTTTTTTTTTTTTTTTTTATTTTATATTTTGCCTCTCTTATTTAGTGCTTTTGTGAAAAATATTGTGGATGTCGAATGTTTTCCTCTTCTCGTCTTAGTTCTTATTATCGTTTATTATGACTTTTTTGTGAATTTTTTTGTGAATGGATGATCTATTAATTTGTTTAAATGTAAAGGTTATGTTTATTCAATTAATGTTACTATGTTAGTGTTTGTTAATTTTAATTTAGGATGAATATAATATGAATCTACGTAACACAAAAATATATAAAATAAATAAAATAAAATTGCCGTGTCCCCCGCTGTGTCCATATCCCCATTTTTTGAAAATTGCCGTGTCCCATGTCTGTGTCTGTGTCCGTATCCGTATCCGTATCCGTATCCGTATCTGTGTCCGTATCCGTGCTTCATATATTATCACCATACTTATTTATCTAACTAGTCCCTTATACAATCACTATTTTGACTTTGGATTAAATACATTTTTCACCTTATAAGCATAAATATATTGATAATCAGGCCAATTTCCGTGCCCCTCGATTAATTTTAGAGTCCTGAACCGGGCTAACCTCTAATGGCCCCAACCTTATAAGCATATATAATAGTAAATTGAATTAATGGACAGAACAAGGCAACACAAATTAAAGCAATAAGTATAATTAGGGCAAACTGAGCGCTACAACTACAACAGTGAAAAGCCAAAATTAACAGTTAACAATTAAATTAAGAAATTATGGAGCAAAAATTAGGCCTAAGGGAAAAAATTACGGCAACAACTATAGTCCTCCATTAAAATTTGATAAACAATAAAGAGAGAGAGTAGAAGAGGAACTGACAAATTGATTTTGCCGGACCAATACACGGCTGATTCTCGTCGTCAGATACTTTTCAATAATTTTAAAAGTTAGTGTAAATAACCGTTATATTTATAGGTCTGAATTTTTTTTGGGGCCTCTATGTTAGATTGGGCCTTTTGTCACTATAATAAGCTAAGGAATTTGGACCAATTTGGGGGCCCAGGAAATGACATCAAATCTAAAGGGCTTTTGAAGCATTCCCTCCTAGTCTCACAGCCTCCTCTTTGTTTTTTTGTGTTTTTATTCTTTATTATTATTTATATCCTCTTCAGTGGATTTTTTTTTTTAAAAATTTAAAAAAGATTTAGAATTTTAGATTTTGCTCAATGAGATGAATTGAAAAATAAAAATTAATTAAAATTCTTTTAAAAAAAGTTTAGAAAAGACAAAAATAAGCATAAAATAGTAAAATTTTTTGGCTTATTTTGGTTTTAATTTTTTTTTTAAAATTCATTTACACAGGACAAACCTGAAAAGTAAAATTTTTTAATATAATATTGGAAAAAGGTTACCAAAGAAAAAATTTTGCTCTTTAGCTTTGTTTTTTTTTTCCTCCCCTTCTCTCCAAATAGTTCAGATGGAAATAAAAATAAATAAAAATTATAAAATGGAATATGAATTTGAGACAAAGGTGTGAATCCCATATTTATAGCCCGGTTCCGATAGGTAGTTCGAATTTGAAGGCTCGAATTTGGAGAAGAAGAAGAAGAAAAAGAAGAAGAGAAGGAAGGAGGAGGAGGAGGAAGGAGGAGGACTAGAGGGGGCATAATCACAGGCGGAGGCGGGGCCGGAGGCGACGGCGGTGGTACTGCGACGATCGACTGCGGCAGCGAGGCGACGGCGGTGGTGCTGCGACGATCTCCTCTCCTCCTCTCTCTTTCTCCCTCTCTCCTCTTCTTTCTCTTCTCCTCTCTTCTTCCTATGCTCTTCTCCTGTGTTCAACGAAGAAGAAGAAGAAAAGAAAGAAAGAAAAGGAAGAGAAAAAAAAAAAAAAAAAAATTCGAAACCCAAAATGACGTCGTTTTGGGTTTCGAACCGAATTCGGGCCACCGAATTCGAGGTACGAGTCATTTTCCTTTCTAGCCTACCTTTAATCTCATATCTGCAAAATTTTTCTTTACACTTAAGTTATCTCTTTTCAAAATAGATTAATGTAAGTTTTGAACGATGACAATCCAATTCTAACTATTCATTACACAAAAAGGTTGCATGTCTGAGTCCCTACTTGATTGGATATAATTATTCTATTTTTTTGAAATTTCATGTTAATTGTGTACTCATCTACTAACAGAACTATATGTTTACGTAACACAAAATAATAATAATAATGATGATGAATAAATTATAAAACCCCATTAATCACACAGTATTCTGAATTGAATTTGATGTGATAATTTCTTAATGGAATGATGATCTACATTTTGATGGGTAAATTATGTTTTACCCTCTTTATTTTTGGTCACTTTTTTAATTTAGCCTTGCAAGTTTATTTTTTCCCGCTTTGATCTTTTATATTTCAAGTTTTTTCTACTTACTTCTAAAATTAAATTTTATTTAAAATTAGACAGAAAATGTCAGAATAACTATCACATAACATAAAATATATATTGTATTATATTAGAGTTTAAACTTTCGTTAAAACTGTCAATTTGTCATTTGTTGTCTATTTTTAACAAAAATTAGTTTTAGGAGTAAAGTGGAAAAAACTTAAAATATGAAGAGCTAAAATAAAAATAAAAAAAAATTAAAATGTCAAAATAAAAAAATAATCAAATATAAAAGAGACAAAATTTAATTTTAGAAAATGCTATGAACCCAAAATAATCTATCAAATATTTTATCAAATCTCTCACATAGGTGTAAGACTCACAAAAATTCACATGTGTATAAGATCTACGCACATGTAAAAAGTTTGATAAATTTTTTAAGATCCCTACCATTACTCTTTAATTTATCCACATTTTGACAAGAACTCACACCACGTATCAAGCATTACACAGAATTTTATGAGTCAGACATTTTATATGTGAGTGTGAAGTGAGCACAACTTCATGCTTTCTCTCTCTATCTCACACTCTGTTTCTGAGTTTTCAATATTATTATATTTGCCTGCTTAGTTGCAACAAACATGTCATATTGAGTGCTACCGAATCCCTCTCATGCCTCTCTTAAGTTTTGGGTGACTTTGTAACGATTTTTTTTAAAAAAATATCATTTTGTTGCCTAGTGGTATTTTGAAAAGTTGATAAAAAAATTAATTTTTTATTTTTTTGGGGGCTTTTTGATGACTTTTTTTTGACTAAAAACTAGCTTTTTGTTGACTTTTTTTTTTTGTATAAAAAAAGTTAAAAAACCAAAAAATTAACTTTTTTAACATGTTACCAAATTGCCCCATTAGTTTCCGATACAATATTTTCAATATCAATACAAATTTATCTCTCAATACTACTGTTTAAAACTTTAAGGAAATCAGCTCATGATAACACTATCTAAATATTATTATCAAATGAGTCCTTACTGACTTAAAGTCAAATACAACCTAACGATGTGAGTTATGTGACACAAGATATGACATAAAATATAACAATGTCATCAGATATCTAGAAAAATATTCAAAAAATAGAATGTATGAATCATATTCATTTTAGAAATGACTCGCAAAACTCTAAATTTAAATCTACATTCAACACTTAATTAAATTTCGTTATACATTTTGGGGTACATATCTTTCTTTTTTTCTCCATAAAATATTACTAATTGGTGGGTAATATTCACTGAAATACTTGGTTAAGGGTGTGCACTTAGTTATTCCCTGCCACTCTTCTTTCTCAAAGTATATATTAAACAAATAGATTGTGTTTTTGGATGATGAAGTGATACTTTGCTTGTCCTGAAACTAGTGGTCATGCTGAGCTTTTTGGTCCCCAAAACAAACGTGCCTCACACCACCTCCACCCACAAATAATTCTTGGTGTTGTGTTGCCCTCCTCCCCTCATATCTCACCACCCATTGACTTCCCACTCTGGCCATATCTATATATGCACTATTTCATTTATAATGATTGTTTGATTAAAGTGAAAAAAATGTGATAGAAATCAAAATTAACTGAAGGTGAAGCACAAATGTTCAAAAAAGATTTTTTTTGAATATTTATTATTTTAGTATGTATTTGATTACAATGAAATTTTTGTGAGAAAATTATAAAAGTTGACTATTTTGAGCAATTTTTTTTATTTATTTTTTGATCTAAAATGACACTTTGCAATGGCAACAATCCCTTCTATTGGTTTTGCGCCATCACGGTCCCCACTGCTATCGGGACTAGTTTTATCGATAAAGAAAGCGACATCATGCAGAGAGGAATAGGGTGGTGGACAGGAGGGAGGGCATCGGCGTGTGGCGGGGCTAGGCCAAGGGCAGAGAGCAGAGAACTATGGGGGAGGGTGGCTGTAAGTGGGTTAGGGTTTACAAGGGAGATGAAAAATAGAAAGGGAAGAGAGGAGATAAATTGAAGTATGGTTTAGAAATTTTACAATTTTTTCTTACCATTTCCTTCTTTTCATCATTTTATTTCTTCACTCTTTCGTAATTTTTCTTTAAATAATCCATTTATTTGTAATTCTTCCTTTTTTTAAAAAAATAAATAAGTAAATTCATGGCTTAGTTTCACCAAGCCCTTTTCACAAACGGTGGTATTACATGTACCAATTAGTGTTATGACATTATTATTGACCTCATTTATTATACAAATTACAAATACCCAAAATCTCTAAAATGATACCATATCATCTGTTAATACATTAATTAGTATACTAATTGATACGTATAGGATTATTCTTTCACAAATGTCAGATGCTATTTTTTGTCAGTCATATAATAGTGACCCACATAAAATTGATATTGCAACATACAAAAACATAATAGACCTATGTGAACTGGAAAAAAGATACCCCTCATCCAAAATTTTAATTATGAAAATGACAGATTCTGTACAAATATTTGTAACTTAAAGACATTTGTAAAAAAATGGATGATTTTGATACTGTAACAGAAATAGAGATTTATTATATTTAACTCAGTACATATGTATAATCCATGGTGAAGTTGGTTTTGTGAGAGTGTGACACGGACTTTCACCCTTCAACAAACCAGCCTCTCCTCCTCCAACTGTTTTAACTTCCCTTTATTTAGCATATCCCTCACTTACAACAATGGTCTCCCTTCTCTCTTTCTAAATTTCTAAATTTCTACTGTCTCTAAATTTATACCCACACAAGTTCATATATAGACATAAGCACAACTATCAACTTTCAATAATGGCTAGGCAGACTAATTCACAGTTTACTCTCTTTCTGTTCCAAGCCTATCTTTTGACTCCTAACTAAAACCCCTCTCTCTCATTCATTCACTATATATATACATATATTTTCCCCCACTCCCCCATCTTGCTTCCTCCCTCCTCCTCCCCTCCCCACCCCCCTCTAGCTCTGTATTGTTGGCGGTGGCGGTGGCGGTGGCGGTGGCGGTGGAGGATAGGAAGATGGAAGCTTTAGAGGAAGTTGTGGGTGGTGGTGGTGGTGGTTCTAAAGAACATACCCACATCGTAAAAGGCAAGCGAACCAAGCGACAGAGACCACAATCTCCGATTCCATTCTCAATCGCCGCCACACATTCTTCGAGTGGTGGTGGTGGTGTTGGCAATGACAACAATGGAGACAATTTTAACAAAGTCTCCTCGCCTGAAACATCAACTGAATTCATCGATAGCGCCACCGAGGAAGAAGAAAACATGGCCAATTGCCTAATTCTTCTAGCACAAGGACACGAATCAAAAAACCCAATTGATCTTGATGATGATGATGATGATGATGATGATAATGAAATGGGATTGAAATTCACGAGTAAAAGATCGGCCCAAGCATACCAATGCAAGACATGTTTTCGAATTTTTTCGTCGTTTCAAGCATTGGGAGGCCACAGGGCTAGCCACACAAAGCCTAAGCCCAAGGAAAAAAGACCAACTATGATAGCAACAACATCCTCCGATGAAGAACAACAACAATTCAAGAACAAGCCTTTGAATAGCCATTCTAAGTCATCATCAAAGGTTCATGAGTGCTCGATTTGCGGGGCTGAGTTCATGTCCGGACAGGCCTTGGGAGGTCACATGAGGCGCCACCGTGCACCACCACCTATAGGTACCACCACCACCGCCACCACAACCACATCCTTGTCATTGAGGACATCTGAGTTTGAGTCTGATGATCTTCAAGAAGCCAAGAGGGCAAGAAATGTGTTGTCATTGGATCTGGATCTTAACCTTCCAGCCCCAGATGTGGATGATGATCATCATCATGAATCAAAGTTCTGCTTCGCGTCCGAGCAACAAAAACAGCAAAAACAATCGCATCTTGTCTTGTCCACCGCCACCGCTTTGGTGGATTGTCACTACTAATTCGGGGTTCAAATTTTCGTTCTTTACATCTGCGTCTTATTCTGTGAAATTTTATTATACTCCTAATCCAATTATTCTTTTAAATATTGATCGTTTATGATTAATTTCAGGGTTAGATGATGTGTAATACCCACTATTCTTTTTTATTGTTACCATTGAGAATTGGGGATTCTTTGGATTATTATTATTATTTTTTGTTTTTTTCACATCTTGATAAATAATACAATTTGACTTGAAATTCTTTGAATTCATTGTTGTGCAGTTGGTGTTCTGTTTTGAGTTTTTTAATTTTATTTTATTGGTTTTGTTTGTTTTTCAGTGTAAAGAATGTGTAACAGAGTGAGAAGGAGGGAGAGGTTGGGTTGGAATTGTCACCACCACCACCACAACCAAAAGTATTTTGTGGTTTAAGTTTCATAGTTTTCATTTACAAGAAAAGAAAGAGTCTCTCTGTCTCTCTTAAGTGATGACAACAATGAAAGCGTGGAATGCCAGTAAGTAAACTGCACTTCCCAAATGAATCCACCACCCACCTTTTTCTTCATTCTCTTAATTTTAAATTTAATCAATAATAGTAAGATGCTTTTAAGTACATCCATAGTTGTCCATTTTTGTTTTTTTCTTTGCTTGGCCCACCACTCCTTGTGTTTAGTTATGGGTAATCTTATACAAACAAAATTTTAAAAAAATTGTTGATAGCAAAATCGATTACAATATAGGATTTAACTGTCTTGCATAAGTTGAGTTTCACCTTTTATAAATTTTACATTCAAAAAAAAAAGTTGTGTCCTATTTATTAATTAATTTATGTGCAAATACAACAATCAAAATTTTAATAGAGAGGACTAGTGGTAACTCCTCTTACTTACCAATTCATAAATCTTATTTCAAAATGTGTGAGTGATTTTCCGATCACACTGTCCTCCTTAGTAATTCAGCTGTAGAATACAGGCAGAATAGATGGCACCTTGCTGTCCTGCACAGAAAGAGAAGGCTCCGGCGGTGGTTCTTCCACCTGGGGGCACTCTGACGATCAAGTCAGTATATCTCTCAAAGATAATCTATAGTGCTAAACTCAATGCTCAAAGCATAAATTGCGTACCTTAGACCCACCAGTCCCACTAGAAGCATGACTTCTATGGACTCCAATTCTGTACTTACTTTGGACTCCTCAAGAGATAAGGATAGACTCCCTAAGAGTGTTATCCTTATCCATCCTGAAGTCTTTCTTCATCCTTGGACTCCTGTCCCTTGTCCGTTTATCTCGGACTCCGGTATCCTCGCACATAACCTCGGCAACTCCGAGATCACCTCGGCATAACTACCATGACACGTGGCACCTTGGCTGACACGTCGGCGTCACCTTGCCACGTGTTGATACTCTGAAAATATATCCCCACACAAAAAATATATATATATATATATATTCACACATAATTACAAAAATGTCAAGTCATAACACTTAATTGTGGTTCACAATTATAAAAATGTCACTGCTATATCATTATAAGTTTTATATATAAAATTTGTGTTTATGAATAATTTTATTTATTTATTAACCTACTCAAATATGCCTAATTAGAACATCGCATGGATCACCTATTCTCATTATCTCAAATCATTTTTCTATTACAAAGGATAGAAAAGTGATTTAGAACAGATAAAGAGAGGTTTTTGTTAACGAATAATACTATATGCATCAATTAGTATATTAATTAATGTACTAATTGATGATGTAACATAATTTAAAAGGTTTTTGATATATGCAATTTGTATAATGAATGAGGTCAATAACAATGTTATCACTAGTGTTAGTATACTAATCAGTATATGTAACACCACCGTTTGTTAACATACGCCCTAAGGGCACATGCTAAGAAGACATTAAATAAATACATTTATATCAACTTGTATAGAAAATAATACAACTTTAAAGGCTATCTTAATTAATTTTTTAAAATTTATAATAGGATCTTGTTGACATGTGCCCTTAGGGCGTATGGTAAGAAAACAATAATTGATTTTAACTCCTTCCACTTGCATGGGAATGTGAGGATATGAGAGAAATTAATTATGATGACTTTTAATAGTTATTTTTTTTAATAATGTTATAGTTTATATGTACTAATTAATGTACCAATTGATGATGTGATATAATTTAAGATATTTTTTATATTTATAATTTATATAATGAATGGGGTTAATAATAATAAGTCATAACTAGTATTGGTATATTAGTTAGTACACTAATTGGTACATGTAGCACTACCGTATTTTTTTCTCCACATAGACATAAGTACCCTATTTTTTAAGACAATTTTTTTAACAACTAAAAAAATTATCTTATATTTTTTTATTTTGTTTTATTTTTGTAACGGTTTTTAATAAGGTGAGAACCCCACCAAAATATGTGAAGGTAATGTTGAAAAACTTTAGTTGTAAAATATTTTTATTTGATTAAATTTTTAGAATTTGTATTTAGAATTTATTTTAAAAAAATTATAAATTTTTGACAAACAAAAATATTAATATACATGTGAATTTTTAAATATTATTTTATGTTAAAAAATTATATCAAAATAATAGTATTTGATTTTTTTTCCACCAAACTAAAGTAATATAAAATATCAAATTTGAAGAAAAAGTGAGGAGGCATACAAAAATAAAGGGGAGAGGGGCGCAAAGCAAAATGGGTGTTTTAATCTTATTATAAAAGTTTTTGTTAACTTGTACCTATGGACATATGTTATGGAAATATTAAATAGGTATAACTATCTCCACTGCTATAGAAAGTTGTAAAAACTTAAAATAAAGATTGAGAGTTTTAATTTTAGAATTTTAAAGAGAGTTCTAGTAATGTGACAAAAGGTGAGGCTCACATCTGATGTGATGTGTGTATCTATATTTTTGTGTTTTTTTTTTCTCTTTTCACATCATTAGAGCTTTCTTTAGAGTTCTAAAATTAGAACTCTCTATCATTGTTGAATCTTTAATTTGAATCGACATTATGCCTAATTTGTGCTGATTAAACGACAAGCTTTAATTATTGGAGAAATGCTAACCACCGCGCAATGAGCAGTGATTACCGTTGATTCATAAATAAATAATGTATAATATGAATCTTATTTACATGGCCCTTGCACATGTTAAGAAAATAATAAATGATGTTTTAATTTTCTCCACCTCTATAAAAATAGGAAAATGTTATAGATCTTAAATAATATATTAAATTTTGGACCAAATCTCTTATATGGGTGTCGAACTCACACAGACTCACATGTGTGTGGGTCTCACACCTATGTGAGAGATTTGGTAGAAAATTTAGTAAATTATTTGGGACATCTAGTATAACTCTAAAAAATATAAATGTAAAAGGGATATTAATTATGATGTTATTAAAGAGTTAATTTTTTTTTAGTAATGTTAGGGATACCAAATGTTCTACCAAATAAATTACTAAATGTCTCACATAGGTGTGAGGTATTCAATTTTGTTGACCCTACACCCATGTGAGACATTTGATCATTTATTTGGTAGAAAATTTGATACCTATAGCATTTTCTATTTTTTTTTATATGTACATAAATACCTTTGTTTTCATAATACTGTGTTTAGTTGGGATTTGAAAAGGAAAAGGAAAAAGTTAGGTAAAATATAAATAATATATATATATATTTATATATTTCATCTATTTTCACATACCTTTTTCTTTTTCCTTTCTAAATTTCTCCCAAATCCTCTAACTAAACACAACGTAAGACTATTTTTTTAAGCTACTATTGCATATGATAAAAATAAAAAATAAAAAATAAAAAAATAAAAAAACTATATGTTTATATATTTAACGTTCTAATTTAGTGACAACCCCACCAACATTTATGATATATTTGAATTTTAAAATATTATTTTATGTTCCAAAAAATATCATATGAAAATAATTAGTGTTTGATTTTGATTTTTATTTTTAAAGTCACCAAACTAAATTTTAATTTTTTTGAAAAGGATATTAAAAAACTCAATCAATATATATGTATATATGGAGTTTGATAAAATATTAGTACCAATGAGGATGAAAATAATATAGAACATATTTGAGGAAAAAAAAAGATATTTTGGTCTTATTATTTTGAAAATAATTTATCACAAAAAAAAAAAGAAAAAGGTGAAGAAGACAAAAAGAAAAAAAGAAAAACAACAATAGTATTTCGGCCTTATTATAAAAAATAATTATTTAATTTGGACATTATTTAAGTTTTAGAAATGGGGCAATGCTAGAGACCACTAAAAGTGATACTCTAAAGCAACCACTAATGATGTGGTATCCACTTTTTTTATAAAAAAAAAAAAGACACAACAACATTGTGGCAGTGGGCGGGACCCATTGCCATATCATTAGTGGTGGTACTAATTAGTACTCCCACTCATTTTCCTTAAAGATTAAAGCCAACAAGTTGTATTATACCAACTGTATCCGAGAAGTTATTGATTGTTTATACTGTGTTTGGTTGAGAGATTTGAGAAGAGATTTAAAAACGAAAAGAAAAAATATAAGTGAAATGTAAATAAAATATATTTACATTTCACATAATTTTACATACATTTTTTCTTTCATTTTCCAAATCTCTTTTCGAATTCCTCAATCAAACACACTAGGGTAACATCGTGGAGCTCAACATGTATTGTGATTGATGAAAATGATGAAATTTTCAATTTTGTATTATTAGGCCAAGTTGGACAAGTTGAAAAAAAGTAAAAAAGTTATTACTATTCACCAAAAGTCAAAAAAAAAAAAGTACACAAGCCAAATTTGTATTGAAGTGAGGGTATAACACACTAATTTATACAAACTTTTAATATATATTTTTTCATAAAAAGTCAAAAAATTAATCTAAATTTTTTTTCTCAACTTTTTAATCTAAAAATTCAAAAAATATACTTATTTAAAAGATCCTAAATAATCCCTCCATTAAGAAGCACCAAAAAAAAAAAACATAAAAATTTATGATTGATAACCACACGACATTCTAGTCAACCAATAATTTATTGTCAGTCCTTTGTGTTGGCATATCCTAACATCATGAGCTGTTTTACAGAAGCAATAGCTAATGATTGTGTGCCTAGATGTGCCGTTATAATACTTTTCGATGTTTCTTCTGTTAGTAATGTTGCCTCCGTTTGGGAAGTGGGTTGGCTTTTTGGTTTTTTGGCTTTTTTGGCTATTTTAGCCTGGGCTAAAAAGTTTGGTTTGGGAAGGGCTTTTTGGCTTTTAGGCTTTTTTGGCTTTTTTTGTGAGAGAAGAATGTAATGATTATGGGTTGGATGTGATATTTTGTTTTTTGTGGCTAAAATAGCCTATTTTGTCTTTTGTGGCTAAAATAGCCAAAAAAGCCCCGTTTAGCTCTTGCCAAACGGAGCCGTTATGTATTGTGAGAATATAGTAATATTATACACTTTGAAAAAAATATTTTATAAATATTTTGAAAACAAAATGTATGGATAAAATATATTTTGGTTATGACTCATATATACAAAATT